ACACTGTTGACTCACATTCAATTTGTGGTCTACTAGGACTCCTAGATCTCTTTCACATGTACTGTTGTTAAACCAGGTGTCACCCATCCTATATATCTGCATTTCATTTTTTCTGCCTAAGTGCAGTACCTTACATTTCTCCCTGTTGAAATTCATTTTGTTAGTTTTGACCCAGTTTTCTAATCTATTGAGGTCATTTTGAATCTTGATCCTCTCCTCTGGAGTATTAGCTACTCCACCTAATTTTGTGTCATCTGCAAATTTGATAAGTGTGCCCTCTATTCCATTATCCAAGTCATTGATAAAAATGTTGAATAGCACTGGGCCCAGGACAAAACCTTGTAGCACCCCACTAGTCACTTCTCTCCAGGATGAAGAGGAGCTGAGCCAAAGGGCTTAGCACCCTTTGGGTTTGGCCGTTCAACCAATTACATAGCCATCTAACATTTGCATCATCTAGCCCACATTTTACTGGATTGCTTGCCAGAATATCATGGGGGACTATGTCAAAGGCCTTACTGAAATCAAGACATGCCACAAAATTGTTGCATTATGATTCCACTTTAGTGCATGTCTGGAGCCTTTGGAATCTTTGGGTTTGCAATTCAGGGAGAGGTGTTTAGAATTATCAGTGAGAGAGCTGTAGTGCCCACCAGACTAAAAACTACAGGATTCCATAGGTTTTTGCCATGGTAGTTTAAGTGGAGTCATAGTGCAACAATTGTGCAATGTGAAATGGCCCTTGAGCTGGTCCTTCCTTTTGAATTCCCACTCAAAATCCCAAGGAGAAGGGAAGAAACCCTAAGTGATGACTCCAGTAATAGGCGATTCCCTCCTCCAAAGGTCCAAGTGTTTGTACAGCTCCCCAACAACTCTTTTATAATCCCCTGGGGCTGTGACTAACAGCTGAAGAAACTAGGAATAACTGGTTTTGAGGTGAATCCCAAAACACAACCCAATTAAATCCAAATAAAAGGGGATCAGGATTAGGAAAAAAAATAGGTGTTAATGAAATCTAGTATAAATTTTACATTGACTGGTTTCGACAAGTGCCAGCTGGTCTTTCCCTACAGAGCAGTGTGAGTAGGCAATTCTGGCATCCTTTACATAAGACAGACACACACATTTGATTTTTAAAAGTCAGGATCTATACTTCGTAAGTGGCAAGGCCCATCAAATGTGTCCCTTGAGGCATTTTGGCTGGGCAACTGAATCATATTTTTTGCTATTTATATCCTAGCATCTGTTCAGTTTTGCACTACTTCTTCTTTCAACATTATGTAACTTTTAAGAGAACATTGTGAGTGTTCTGTAAACTGAACAAACTGATTAAAGAGGAGATATCTGCTCAGCTGGAATGCAAACACGGGTGGGATTTCTGCCATTCTCATACAAGTCATGACTCGCACATATCTTGACAACCTGAAACCATTCATACCTAAAGGGAATTGGTAGGTGCATTTTTAAAGTTTATATACAATTGCTCTGATGAACACACTTGTTTCTTCTGTTCAAGAAAGCTTCCCCATTCAGCTCAATGGAAGATGTAGTAAAAGTGCTTTAAATCAAACCTTTGTGTTCAGAAGCAATATACTTTTGAATTCTAATTGATGGAGCTGGAGTGAACAATGTGGGGCAAATTGTTGCATTTCTGTCCTTATAGACTTCTGACAGGGTGATTAGCTTCTATGGGCAACAGAAGGATGGACTGAACAGACTCTCAGGCTAATCTAGGTGGGTTCTTCTTATGTTCCTAATGCTCATAAATACAGGAAGTGCACCCAGGTGTTCTTAAATTTTATTCACAGAGAGGGTGCAAGGCGCACAGACCAAATCTCCACTCTTGACTCTTTCAGTCATTTTGAACACTGAAGGTTCTAAGGTCAATCCACTGAACATGGTTATGTACATAGTCTTCCTTATTACTGAGAAGAACTGTAAATGTATTCATCTGAAAACAGGCTTGGGTTCAATGAATTCTGTGGACTCTCACTGCTTCCACCAGAATCAGTGACCTCTTCCCCCCACCCCCATGTACACTAAAACCTTGCCTTGGATATGTGGGAGATCTAATGGGGCAGGTGTTTGATGACATGGGCTATGGCAGTGTGGGAGAAGAAGAAAGTCTCAATTCCATTTGTGTTGGATACCAAAGTAACCATTGGAGCTTGACCTTACAATCCTCCTTCAGATGTCCTCATTCAACATGGCAAGGTCAGTGGTGCATCTGGTTGCTATGTGCTTTCGTCACTCTAGTCGCCACTTATCCTTTAAGTTTAGGATCTAAAGTTTAGGTAAAGAGGAAAGGCTTTGCTGAAAAAGAGGATAAGAGAGGACAAAGAGTTGTATAATATTTTCAAACATGAATTATGCCAGAATAGAAATGTTTACATAGAAAGGCAATAGGTAGTCACTATAACTGACCAGGGGCAACTCGTGGGCCTACTCAGTCTGGTGTCCAGGTGCTCACTGTAGGTGCTGTTTCTTATACTTAATCTTTTTTCCCAGACTTAGACTCAAAAATCAACCTGAAAAACCAGGCTTAGGGGGATGGCCTCATGTTAAAGGTCACTTAAGAGCTGAAATTGTATATTATCCAGAACAACTGCTGCAATAACTCCTCTTTGAGATGCATATACACATTACATTTGAGAATGGTGTACTACTTCACTTAAATATTGCAAAACCATGACTCTCTTGTCCAGAATGATTCACTATGGTGGAAGGAGTAGTTGAGACTTGTAGGAAAATATCTGAGATAAGACTATAGGGGGTTTCTGAGATTGGGCCCCATTTAACTCAAATGCCTACTTATGTGCCTAGTTTTTCAATCTGTTATTTTATAATCTGGAAACACAGAGAGGTATTGCTTTTCATTTTGTGCATTTATTGACTAATTGGTTAATACAGCCTTCTAGGGTCATGCTCAGTGAAAAACAGATTCTAGTTCTCATGTTTATACAATGTCCTGAATAAATGCATGGGGCTGTGCCTACTTTAATTCTGTGTGTCTACTCATTGTGTGGATACAAGGTGATAAGAACAAGGCTTAATTTGATCTCCTTGTACAAAATCCAGCTCTATTCAGAGCTGATTGGTTGTTACCTGTAATGTCATGAAGGAAATTTTCAACATTTAAAAAATTGATTATTAGGTGTCCATCTTTTAAAAATAAAGCAAGGAATGACAAAATCTTTAAAATTTACTGTGACTTATGAACTGAAGGAATTTCTTTTATAAAATAAATGGTATTTATCACTGGAAAGACTTTCAAAGATGAGTAAAAATGTTTCAAACAAATTTTGGAAATGTGACCATTGGTTGGGACATTATATCATATGTGGTATTCATGTGATAAAGCTCCAAAATGTTGGACTCAGATTCATATGATGTAGGTATCATTAAAATAAAATTCCAGAAGAAACCAGAACTTTATTTATTGACAATGATGGAAGAACAGCTAGAGAAAACAGTTGGAAGAATGCTATAGTATATGATTACTACCATGAGACTTGTCTGTGCTCAAAGACTGAAGGAAGCTGATATTCCAACACAAGAAATTGGGTTGGTGAAAATTTCTGAATTAGCTGAAATAGTCAAATTGACTGGATAAATTTGATAAATTTTAAGAAAGATTGGGACCTTGTTGAGACAAAGATGGGACAATGTATCTGTGAGGTTTCTTAAAATAACAACAGTATGCTTATATGACTACATTATCATAATTAGGAAGCATATTATAGCATTTATGGATTATGCTGCTCAGTTACTCCCAGGTGTAGAGATGGCTATGAACTGACATGGTCCTAAAGGGTGATTCAAAAAATTCACAGAGGAAAATGTCATCATGGGTAGTAGTAGTTGGCTTATTTGTTAATTTGTTTTTGCAATATGTTGTTGCTCTGTTTGTCTTTCTTTATTGTTGTTAGTAGATGTAGTTTTTAAATGCTGTTTTATATAAATGTATATATGTATGCTGAATAAAAATATTAAAAAAATAAAAAGAAAGCAATGAATCAACAAACATTCAGTAAAATTAAGACAGTGCTGGACTTTTAAAACAGTGCACAGCTAGCACAAGGTTGCTG